CCTACCCACTGGGCTGAGTGCAAAATCAGGCCTTTAGGGCCTGTGACCCTCAAGGTCGGGCCTTTAGGCCCTGGTGTGTCCCTCCGGCCCTAAGTCGGGTCCGGTAGGACCCGTGTGGCATCGAAGATGTAACAAGGGGCCTTGCCGTGATGTACATGTTCTGGGCTAAGGCCCCCAGCAAGCCTCGTGCCCGCCCTAAGTGAAGGCGGGCCAGCAAATCATTAAGAGCCCTTTGTTCAAACATTTCACGAAGTGGGGTCCATACAGTTGCAGCACGCCAATTGGTTGGAGTGCACCGAGTCTCGGATCTCTGCAAATGCGGAAGTCCCACGGCCCCTGAGTTGGTTAGGCCCTGGGCACATAAACGTGAGGCCGACAATGCATGCTGGATATAGAGGCCGAAAATGCCAATGGGAAACCGGCCCACTATCTGAATCTGGCCGCAGGCCTTGATTAAAGAGGCACAACTGCATCTCCCGGGCCCCAACCGCATCGGGCCTGGGTTCAGGTACTGGGGCCCAGGCACAGGCTCAAGGGAGGCCGCCCACACGCAACACTGGCATATAGGCAAGCAGGGCGAGTGGGCAGGGATCTTGGCCATTGCGGGCAATGCCGGCACGCTGCGGAAATGCGAGCTGCTGCGCTGCGCTAGGCTGAGGTGCGAGACAGGCAGGCGCTAGGTGGTAGGGCGCTGCCTGTATACAAGGCGCTGGCAGCCATAGCCGGGCTGCCTGAGGGCTCAGGGGAGGTGAGGGCGAAGGTGGTTCTTCGGAGGTGAAGGGCGCTGTGTGGGATAACAAGGGAGAGTGTGGGTGAAGAAGGAGACATACCTGGTGGAGGTGGGAGGTCGGCATTGGAGTTGACATCATCACTCGCTGGTCGTCAAGTTGTCTGGTTGCTTTCATCTGTAGTTGTAGTGTTAGGCTATAGAGTAGGTAGGGCGCCTGGCGCCCATTCAAGAGAGAGAGCTACATTGGGTTATGCCGTTGGTGTTGCCCTGTTGGGCTTGGACATTGACTCACGATTCTTCTGTATCATTCTCAAATGGATGGTTACTCGGTTCCATTGTGCTATCTGCTCTTGCTTTGACTACTTGGACTTCAGTGTGATTTTGCAATCTGGATTTCTGTGCTTCGTCCATATTCATATTCCTTGCAATTCGCAGTTTGGAAAATAATACCTGCAGGAGGGATTTTCCGTACCGTTTTCAGAAAGACGAATTTCGAAACAGAAGATATTCCGAATTTCTAAGTAACGGAAAATGCAACAGGAAATCAAAATTTTTGAAAAGAAAAATATTCCGGATTTTTTAACAACGAAATTTTGAATTTTCACAAGAAAAGGAAAATGGAGATTTCAGATGTTGCACTAATGCGATTTTCCACAACAGAGTAGCGAGAAAACAAAATCCAAGAAAAGAAAAAAAATTCGATTTTCGGTAGTAAGGTCAAAATCGTGATTTTGGGGTCTAACTAATGTGCTCTAATCAATCAATAAAGACTAATCCGCTATTTAGTCCCCGCACACGTGTCAGATCAGGTTGTCCTGATTCACGTGCGGTGCTCCGATACCAACTGTTACATGCCCAGTTGGGCGATGTACATAGAAACCGAGGATCCGCAATGTGATAAAAAGGACTGAAAGGACAATGCAGTGGAAGACTGCAAGTAGAATCTCGACAAGCAATGTGCATTCTCATACATACAAAAAGGGTGCTGAATAGCGCAGTGGAAGATTTAGATACAAGTCCTGACCTGAACGGGACTGACCTCATTCACGTAGTGAAAGATAGCGAAACAGAATGCTAGAATGCTAATGACTGGCCCAATCAATGTTTGAACGCAGACCAAACATGCATCGTATCCATCACCAGGTGTGAACAAGCCTGGCGCTGTACACAGGAAGAAAGCGCCAGGTCCAGACATACACAGACGAAGAGGAGGGAATCAGACGAAAGGAGGGAGAGAGATGGGAATATCGTCAACACCAAGTCTTTGTCACAAGTCCCAAATAATCCCTCGTTGCAATGTCTGAAGTCGAAAAGTCGAGTCTGGATCCGATGTCACCAAGCTCTTTCTCTCTTCTCTCTTAGTCTGCAGATGCAGTGAAGTCAGATGATGAGAGGGGGAGAAGGAGATGGTGGACTGAGAAGAGGAAGAAGAAGAACTCTCTCTCTGTTACGAGCCAGATACTAATCTGTGATGTTGGCGCTATGCTGCAGGTACCTCGAAGACGAAGCTGGAGCAACGTTGCTGCAGGTAGGTACCCAAGGCCTCCGCCCAATCTCTCTCTCTAGTTCTATCCTAGCTATGGCGCCGAGCGCTGGAGACGACAGCTACCTACTGCGCCCAGCGCTGAAGACTAAAAGCTAACGCTACTACTACTCCCTGCAGCGCTCCCTCCAGAGTGCTGCTGTCGAATCCTGAAGACTACAACGGCCTCCTGCCTGCCCGTGAAGTGCATGGGAAGTCCCTATGTACTACCTCGGCCTACCTCCTGACTGCCTGAAGGGTGAGCCAGGCCGAGGAGGCTGCTCTTGCCAATGCCGAACTGTGCCAGGGGCTGGTTGCAGCAGCTGGTGAGGCTGGCGTGGGGAACAGGCTAAGAATAGCCTGTTCCCGAAACCCTGGTTCGGTGCCTGAGTTTCAGGGCCGGTCGTTCTGATGAACGACCGAAAATGGCCCTTCGTTTCAGGCTAAAAAGGCTGTTGCCATTTTTAGTCTGAAATGACACAGGGACTGTAGGCCCCTGTTTTCAGGCTTTCGGGCTGAACAGTCACGGGGCCTGTAGGCCCTGGATTTCAGGCTTTAAGTCTGAATTTCAGGCTTTCAGCCTGAGGGACGCAGGGCCTGGAAAATGGCCCTCGTGTGCAGGCGCAGCATGTAACACTGCTCTGCGTCTGCCTTGTCACACAAGCACATGACACTTATTTGTCAGCGGCAGATACATACATATAAAACACAGCAAAACAGGCTTAGACTCGGAAGTCTCAGAAATCAGAGCAAAAGCAGAAACTTTCTCAGAGAAAAGCAGATTTCTTGGACTGAATAAAACTGCAATGGCCATTACTGTGCATAGGCTATCCATGGTGTGTAGTGTTCCAGTGCAGAGTGTGTTGTGTTCCAGTGCAGGGTGTGTAGCGTTTGAACACAGGGAGTGTTGCGTTGAAGACAAGGTAGTGCTGTCCATGCCCTTTGCCTCCCATTACAGGTTTGTCATGTGTGTGGTGAAGAAGCTGCATTAGGCCATGGCTTTGTTCGGTTATCATAAGTTATATGTCATTTAACAGTGGGTCTTCATGTTGCATTGCTTGTGGCTCAGGTTACCCCCTTCCAGTGGCTCTGCAGCTCGCCCAGGTGGTCACAGTGGTATGCAGGAATTGAATGAATTGGAACCACAGCTGCTTGCATGGGTGCGCTCTAAACCAGACCTCCAAATGGTGGCGCAGTTGAAGGCCCTGGCAAGACAGCTTAGCCACGTGGTATGGTAATAGTCTCCTTTGCCCATGGGGGAGAGGATATCCCCTCCCTACTTCTGTTGTCTGAGAATATATGAGTGCTCTCTCCCGGTGATTATGGCATCCTTAATATGTGACTGGGGCACTTGGTACTGTTCTGCTGCCTGTTGTTGAGCGGGTTGGTCTGTTCTCTACATGAGAAGGGTGACTTAATCAGATTTTAGTTCATTGTTTTCAATAATTTATCTGGTGTGGTGAAGGCTGTAGAACACTTTGTGCAGGTCTTTAATATCTATGTATCTACGTAGTACATTCTGAATGTGGGTCTTATGTGGCTAGGATAACTTTCATGGTTAGCTGGGCAGCCCCAGCTCAACATAAAAAGTTAAAAACATTCTGGAAAAAAAAATCTTGTGTAGAATTGCAACGCAAACCTTTGGTGGGCCGTCGCCCGGCCCAGCACGCCCGGGCCAGTTGGGCAGAGGGGGGGTCGCCCGGCAAAACCAGACGGGTCAAAAAAGAGGCAAGGATCCCCACCCCCAAAAAAAAGACTTCAGGCCAGGACAGCGCTTGGCCAAGCAGTCAGAATCCGGTCCTAACTTCGGTTTTGGAGATGGGTCATCCAAGGGGGGGTGGGACGTATAAAGTTATAAACAGTGACTAAAGGGGTTAAAAGGGTACTTCGTCCTCTCCGCCTTTCACTTCTAGGACAGGCCACGGTCCCGTATACACGGGCAATGTGACGAGCACGAGGCTGAGGGAGAGCCGAGAGAGAGGGAGAGAGTGGGGAAGAGAGTGAGAGCACACACACACACTTACTCACTCGACACGACTGAGGGTCGGACGCTGACACAGTGGCAAGGGCACAAAGTCGAAGTCTTGGGTTCCGAATGCCGGAACAGCAAGTCACACTGAGTATGAGTACACCAGCTGAAAACTGGTACAAGACTGGTCCCCATACTGTACGGGGAGCGAGTATACCCGTGACACGTACGGTAGCAGGGGCATTTCCGCAAAAGCCCCGAGGGCAGAACTGAAAAATGCGGTATTTGAAAGTGGCGCCCGAATTGCAGCATGGCGCCAGTTGTCCAAAATCCGACGGTACCAAAGGAGGGGTTTGGAAAAAAGTGTGCCAGGCCAAAAACGGGATGCAGCAGAAACAGCAAAAAGATAGACCAGGGATCGAGCCCTGGCGGAGTCCGTAACAGGTAACAGCTTTTGTGAGTTCTGGGATGAACTCCTTAGACTTGACCCAGACTAAATCACCTACCTGGAACTGTGATGGGCGACGATGCTTATTAGCTTGCTCTATCATCTTATGCTGAGCTTTCCTCAAAGTTTCGGTCACCCTTGCGATTTCCCTCTGATGTTGCAGCGCAAATTCTCTAGTTGCGGGTCGCAGTCTTTGTATCTGGTCGTGATTCAGTCCTTCAAATGGCCTGCGTGGTCTAAAGGACTTGTGCAACTCATTGGGAGTTTGACAAGTAGCTAGGTAGACATTGTTGTTGTAGGCGCTAGCTACTTTAGGGAACACCTCATCCCAGTTGATCTGATGAGGCCTAATGTACATCACTGGGAGTTTGACAAGTAGCTAGGTAGACATTGTTGTTGTAGGCGCTAGCTACCTTAGGGAACACCTCATCCCAGTTGATCTGATCAGGCCTAATGTACATCACTGGGAGTTTGACAAGTAGCTAGGTAGACATTGTTGTTGTAGGCGCTAGCTACCTTAGGGAACACCTCATCCCAGTTGATCTGATCAGGCCTAATGTACATCCCGAGTGCTTGCTGCAGGATCTTATTCATCTGTTCAGTCTGACCGTTAGTCTCTGGATGACAGCCAGATGACATCAACAACTTCGAGCCATAGCCTCGCATAAGTTCCTGCCAATGCTGATAGTAAACCGCTTATCTCTATTGCTAACTATAGATAGCGGAATACCGTGCTCACTTACCCAGGCATCGAAAAACTTTTCTATCACTAACTGTGTGCGTGCCTCAGAGGGCAAAGAAACAAAAATTGCATACTTGCTAAATCTATGAACTACAACCATGACTCCTGACCCCAGCATCCATAAAGTCAATGGCCACAGACTCTCCGGGTCCTGATGGGATAGGCCAGGGTCTGAGAAGACCCAATGGAGCTCGCGTTGTAGTTTTGTTGTGTTGGCATACTTTACAACTGCGGACATACTCTATGCAGTCAGCCCTCATGCCAGGCCATGTGTAGGCACGTGTCAGGTTGGCTAATGTCTTTTGCCAGCCAAAGTGCCCTTCTGTATCATGACATTCCCCTAAGATCAGACTCCGAATCACTTGGGAATGCATAGCCGATCTACGACGTCTGTCTTGTCAAACAATAACCTGTTCGCGGTGCGATAATCTGGTCCACTGGCTGGGTCCTCCTAGACTCGCTTGAGGAAATCACTGTAAATAGGGTCTTGCGCGTACGCGTCTCCGACTTTCTGTTGTAAATCATCCCTATATCCAGGTAGTGAACTAAAGCTCCAAAGTTGTCGGCTGTACTACTTAGAGCATCTGCAACCACATTGTACTTTCCTTTCACGGGTTTGAGCTCAAAAGTCGAACTAATATATCTCTGCGGCCCACCTAGTAAGCTCAGGTGTCATCTTGGCGTGCGACTTCAGCCACCTAAGTGTCTCGTGGTTTGAATAGACTTTGAAGTGCCTCCCAAGCAACGAGTGTCTCCAGTGGTCTAACGCTTTCCTGGGAGCGTATAGTTCTCTCTCGTAAGTAGAGGCTGCTGGTACCTTTTCTAAAGGCAACCTAGCATACATGAACCTCTAGAGCTGTCACGCGGGACTGAAGATCTTCCAAGGTCCGCAGTTGAACCAAGGCTGCTACGGCAGCGGCTAGCTTCTCTTGGAACCGGTCATCACTAGATTTTTGAACCTCGAGTAGGGCTACTTGTGTAGCAATACTTGTGGCTTTGGCTGCTGCCTCTGCCTCCCTCTCTCTTTGCACCGCGTCCTCATAAAGTTTCTAAAAGAAAGGTATCTCGCTCTCGGCCGCTGCATCCAGCATGGCCTTCCATTGCTCGGATGTGATTTTTGCCATGCTGGAGGATAGGGCATCAGTAGATCTCTCAAGAGGGGTCTGCACTTTGCTCACTTTTGGACGAACACTCCTCTTACCCCTCCTCACACTCTCAAAAAGAACACCTTTTCTCTCCCTTCTCTCTCTTTCCGCTTTCTGCGCACTCGTCTCAATACCGGACATAGATAATTCAGATAAAAAAAAAAACAGTAAATCACAAAGAGTAGAAGGTAGAACTCCCAGCCGGAGCGGCAATTCATTTGGACTTAGAGAATGGCATTCACGCAGCAGAATAAAGATAAGTAAATAAATAATTAAAAAAAAACGAAAGAGAGGACTGACTTATCGAACAGGCCCGATCAGATTAGCTGGAGATCCCCTGTTGTCTAACCTGACAAGGTACATGTACTACAATAAGTTAGCTGAAGAAAGAAATGAAAGCACTTGCAAATTCGGAATTAGGTTTAGGGTGACTAACACCTCTCGCTGAGATTAGGTTAGCCCTAACCTAATTCAGAATTAGGTCTAGGGTGACTAACACCTCTCGCCAGCAAGCAAGTCCGCCCCGATACCAATTGTTACGATCCTGGTCAAATTCACAACGAAAGACAATGCCACCTAATTGCGAAAGAAATGAAAGCACTTGCAAAGAGATAGAGACCAAAGAAGAGAGAAAGAAAGAAGAAGAAGAAGAAGAAGAAGAAGAAGAAGAAGATGTACACCAGCAAGACCAATGACAAATCCCCCTTCTCTCTCCACCTTCCTCCTCCTCCTTCACTTCGCCAAACTTATTCTTCTTCCAATAATATAATAATAACAAGAGGATGCCCGTCGCGACTGCGGCGGGGACCAAGAGGAGGGGCATCCAGATTAAAAAACAAAAACAAAAAAAAAAGCACATTGCAATGAATCTTGCCATGTTGTAGCGTAAGGTTCAATTCGAGTTTGTTCATCGTATCGATGGAAGTAGCCTCTCTCTATCTCTCTGCGCTCATGGCTGGAAAGCAGTATATATGTCCATATTCTACTGGAAGATTCAACTTCTCTCTATCTCTCTGCGTGCAGGGGTGGAAAACTCTCTCTCTCTCTCTCTCTCAACCGAGGTCTCCTCCCCGCCCGACTTCTCTCTCTCTCTCTCTCTCTCTCTCTCTCTCTCTCTCTCTCTCTCCCCTCC